CCATCCACCTTCTGCCCTCAGGACTGCACAGCTGGCAGTCATTCCAGAGAACATGTATGAAAGCATTTGAGTTTCTCTCAGTATATCTTTCCTTACTTTGTTTTTATTAGCTGCAAAAGGGAAGGTTCCTCTAAAACATTTCAGATGAGGAAAATGATTGTTTTCCATCATTATCCACTTCTACTCTTCCAGTTACTGTGCTAGTGTTGCAAATCACCATCAACGTGAGCTAGGGCCAATTATTCTTTCTGAGCGTTTACCAAGACGCAATTTAATTAGGGGAAGGATTGCTGCACAGTAAGGCACCTGTTAGCAAAAAAAAGATCAATGTATCCAATAATTTAAAAAATGGTAATATTTTGTGTTGTATCTGAATGGGTGGCTATGACTAGATTAATAGATACCAGACTTTGAGTGAATGCTCAGTTACTGTCTTTTTACACAGCAGAAGGTGAGGGTTTCCTTTTCACTGTTTCCTGTTATTTTTTAAGTTCACAATACATTCAGCTTCACTGGTTTGGCTGAAGAAAATCAGCATTTGATAAGGAGTAAAATTACAAATTCTTTTTTATGAAAGCAATTTCTGAGCTGCTTAATTACGGCATATGATTTCCCTATATACGGCAAAATCAGGAAGGAACAGGCAAATGTCAATTTGTATAAAATATGTTCAGATATTTTCTCTGGGACTTGTTTTGCTCCATAATCAGAAGAACAGAAAACTTCCAAGTAATAGGAACAGAAAAACATATCAGGAAACACATAAAATATGTTCATCAGATTCCTGCAATGTTATCTCTATTTCTATCACAAAAATACCCGCTATCTCCAAATAGAAGCAGGAAGCTTATGACTTTTTCTTGTAACGACTGGTGTGGCCCACACCCTTCCCTCTGCGGGGTGGCAGGGGTAGGAGCCCAGTTCCAGCTTCCCACTGTGCAGAATGCTGATCAGCTTTGAGGCAGGAAGAACTGGGGTAAGAGGCAACTGGGTGAGGGGACATCTCTAGAAAAAGAGGGATAATTCATATTAAAAAAATTACATGTCCTTCACTGACATCTTCTAACATCTACAGCTTCCAACTACAACATTTCACACTATATTTAGCATTTTCTTACTTCTTTTAGAAAGCAATGAATGATAATTCAAGCTTTTTTAAGCTTAAGGTTCACTTTTGTGCACTTAGTACGTGGACTTCAATGATCCTTCCCTATGCAGCTTGCTTCTGAGAGCAGCTGTCAATCTTTAGTCTTTATATTTTACCTGTAATGATGGATTCTGTGTCAGTCAATATGCATTGCACAGACTAAAAACCAAACCAAACCAAGCCAAACCAAAGCAACCCCAAAAATGGCACTCGCGCATATTAGTTTAAGTTTCTCTTGCATTTTTCATACAAACAGTTCCTGTCTCACAGCAGGGGAAATAAGAAGCTATGTAATGTAGCCGTACTATTTCGAAAAAAAGTCTGAAAGGACTTTCCAGCATATTCAGTGAAATGCATGGACAGAGCAGGAGATAAATTTTGTTCTATCTTTTACACAGACAATTTTTTTTCAGATTAGCCTGTGGTCAACAAATCACTCTTATTTTGAATAAAGGAACCAAATATTTACTCAGGTACACTTCTACAGCCTGAAAAGTGGAAAGTTTTGTCCTAATATAATTTGTAAAACAAACATTGTTAATGGAGATATGAGGTAAGCAAATGGAATGTATTTCTGAATGAGAAAAATTCACACCACTGGAGGACAAAAGAGCTTAAATCCAGCTATATTTGATTTCACATAATTGTGCAGATACTAAGAAATGGCATACTTCTATATTGATGGCAGAGGGTATTCAATAGGTATATTGAATATTTCCCCCTAGAAGGGGACTGACTCTATATGAAAGAAAAGTAACGAGTGGAGAAAAGTACTGAGCATCAGGAAATACTGCACAGGTCTATTTCTTCTGCTGTATTTGCACAAGGCAGAGTGCAGAACTGTGCAGAATTCAAAGTAAATTGGCTTGTATCCTTTGCCCTCTTGCTGTTAATTAGTCTGTGATACTATGATAATAATTCTTAATGTGGGCACATTAAGCACAAATTAATGAAGGCCAGTTGGACATTTCCTCATCCCTTTCGCATCTCTAGACTAAGTTAGTATTTGAGAAGTGACTACATTTTCTTTGTTACCCAAAGATTTTGATACAGAATAAAAATAGGCTCAAGAAGACTGGATCTTTTGAAGCCACTTAAGGGATCAGATTCTTGTCCTGAGAATTTATTTCCTTGATACTGTAAAATTTTTCAGATCTTTTGAGCATTGTAAGTAAATTAAATATGCCTCTATGAATGATTTGAAAAATAAATATGAGTTCTCTCTGTACAATAATGTCCTGTGCTTTTCTGATTGTTAATTATGGTTGAGTGATGATTACCAGAGCATTTCCAGAGTCCTTTCATTCCAGTGACTGCACTAAATAACTTTTGTCCTGAAGAGAGTAAGTATCTCCCTTCAAATTCCTGGAAAATGCATATGCACCCAGACAAACTAGCCATGCTTACATATTAATGCCTAGGTATTTAGTCCTAGACTGCTATAATAAGGATATTTTCACAGAGGCCTGAGTGGGTTGTCAGGCTGCTCTGCCAACAGTGTAGCTGATGGTGAAGTGTGCTTTTGGCTTACAGAGTCATTCATACTCTGAACTTTTTTAGGCACTGTTTACATGTGTTTATTCACCCTTATGCAAGGAGGATGTTCACATCTATAAAACCTTTAAATGTCTTGGGGTTTTTTCCACACTTTTTGCCAAGTTACATAAATTGTATAGCTTCACTAGCTTGGAAAAAAAAGTTAGCTATCCTTACCACAGTTGGACTAAGTGGTTTTATCACCATTTTCGGAAGGCCTTCCCTTAAACCAGCATCACACATCCCAGTTGAATTCAGTCAAGATTTTATTGTTTACAAAAATGGAAAGAGGTAAATGATCTAGATATAGTTTGTATTTCTTAGACTTACTAGGCAAACAAGGTTTTTAAAGCTTGAACAATTCCACCTGTGGGACTGGCACACAAAAAGTATTATTCCATGAAACAGAAAGGGCAGAGCAATAGGATGGGGTGAGTGAGGATGGCAATTTTATTTCTCTTATTTCTAACGGGAGGAGTGCTGTTCTTACCTTAAAGAATTTGCAATGGTGAATTGCTTTATATATTTGTGACACTTGCCTCAAACTGTTTTCATCGTGACTGGTTTTCCCTTCCCAAGCTGAGACACTGACAGTGATGTTCACATGAACATAGGAGTTTCTCTTATGTGAACTTAGATAGAATCTACTTTAAGAGGCCTTTATTTTCCTATATGGTAAAGGTGGGGTGATTTTTTTAAAACTAACAGAGTTAAACCTAGTGAAGCATTGATGCAGTAGCTTACTAAGTGAAATCTGGTCATGCATTTCTAAATTTTGGGTAATGTCTAAGAAACCAGCACAATACACTGAAAACTCCACATCCAGAAATAAAGAAAATGCAATTGTAAAAAATATGCACTAAGGAAGGATGTGGAAACTTTTCTTGCACATAAGCAGAGCAGACTTAAACATAGTTTCACTGTCCAGTTACAACTGATGAGGCATCAAAAGCAATGTTGACCATTGCTGACAACTTCAGCATAAGTTTGTATATACATCCACATACATTGCTCTAGATATGCGTGCATCTCTCTGTATGTACATGCAAAGTACAGTCATACACATATTATCCTTCTGAGATATATGTAGTGCATAGAGATGTATAGGTACTATACGCATACCACACAATACAAGTTGGAATAGGTCATGAAATAAGTAGCACTTATCTTAATGTTTTCCTATGTTACTTCTTCCATTTTTCAATCCCTGATAGGGATGACTGAAACTCCACTAAGTCATTTAAATATCCAAAATTAAGAAAAAAATCCTCAAGCACAGCTAGGAAGGTATCTGGAAATAATTGCAATGATCTTTCTTGAGGAAAAAAAAAAAAAATCTGTGTTATATTTTGCATGTACAGTGTGGTTTGTGAAGAGTAGTCAAAGTCCTTGAATGCCAGTGTGGCACATCTAATGAGTTTGCCAGTTGAGACTATGAAGAATTGTCAGTGGTATCAAATACCGTGATGGTCAATCTCAGCCAGTTGCAGTGCCACAGAGTATAACATGAAATAAGCATAGTGTATAAATTCCAAATATTTCTATTCATATAGAACTTGTTTCCAACAAATAGCATGACTGGATTATTTATACCCTTGCTTTAAAAGCTGAAGTAGAAAAATGCCTGAGTATCAGACATTACAAAGTAGCATTTTTCCAAATAACTGTCTGGCAAGTCCTAAAAGGAGAAGTAGAAAAGTGCAGAACCCACAATGATCCATGCCTGATATGAGGAAGAACATCCTAACTAAATAAAGTTTTTAATTCCATGAAAACCTGAATCTCACACATGCTTTAGCTAAGCTTCCAAACAGAAGTGCTTGAGTATCATGGGAGAGCAGTGCATGAGAGAGAAAAGGCAGACATCATTATGAACACCTCAGCTCCAATAGACATCTCTACATATCCCTTGGGCTCAAAGAAGCAATCTACAAACATGTATCACTTCAACCTGCTACCAGAAGCCAGTGCAGTGGCATTTGCATGGGTAAATACAGAAGAGATAAAAAAAATATATAAAATAGAAAATCACAGAAGGTGGAAGCAGGTTGTGAAAAGAAACAGTAGATTTGCACAGTTCAAAGAATACTCAGATTTATCACAATGAATATGTATTTTTTAAAAATTTTCAAATGCATTAAAATACATGATGAGTCGTGAACTGGGTGAA